ACCATGGTGGTAGGTGTGCTGGGCTGAGCGCACAGGGAACGTGAGCCCCAGGGCCCCTGTGCTGCACCCTGAGGGAAGGTGTGGCTGCTGGAGGGCTGGGTGCATTGCACTGAAGGGATTTGGCTCTGGAGGGACCAGGGAACCACACAAAGAAACCAGACAACCAGAGACAAGACCTGCACCACGAGAGGGGTGGGTGCTGGCAGGTTTGGGGCATAGCTGACTAGAGTTTCTGAAGATGGGGTTCCTCTGCATGCCTTGCCAAGGGACAGCACATGGGACCTGCTGAGACAGGTAGGGGCCACCCTGGTTACCTGGGAGGCAGGCAGGCTCACGACTGCTGGAGGTTGGCTAGCACCTGGCCCCAGAACACAGGAATGCTGTTCCTCAGACCACCAGACAGACAGTAAGCACAGACAGAGCTGCTGTGATGTCCAGACGGCTTTCCCGTCCGACTGACGATCACGGCAGCCTGAGAGGCAGGCAGCGTTGGCCATTTCACAGCTGAGCAGTCAGGTGGAGGGCGCCTGCATGACAGTGAGAATGTGCTTATACAACTCTATCCGATGAGGTGATGTCCTGACATTAAACACAGCCGTACAGAGCTGCCATTTGAACACTGGGCAGAAGCAAACAGGCAAGTCACAGAGGAGAAAGTAACAGTTGCTTGTAAATACATATACATTTTCTGTCTCATTAAGTCTGTGTGTGCATGTTTGTGTGTGTCCTCCCAGATGAATGACAATCTCCTCGAGAGCTGGAGTGACCTGGACGAGCTGAAGGGAGCCAAGAACCTGGAGACAGTATACTTGGAGGGGAACCCCCTGCAGAAGGACCCACAGTACCGACGGAAGGTGATGTTGGCACTGCCCAGCGTGCGGCAGATCGACGCCACCTTCGTCAGGTTCTGACCCTCCTCGCCCTCACTTGCTCTTTCTCTCCAAAAGAACTTCCTGGCCACGGTTTTTTAATCCACCCGTTGCTCCTGAAATCATCACTATCAACGGTCACAACCCAATGGCAATAAAAAGGCACTGAGTGATCACTGCCGTGTGTACTGCCAGTCACACTCTGGGAGGCATTGCTGTTCCGTGCACCACACGGTGTCCCATTGCTCTGTGTCCTCTCTGAGGAGGTCACTCAAGCATCCGTGTGCTGCTGGGTGGGCATTCAGGGGCCGTCCAGTGGCCTGAAGCCTATCAGCCCAGAGCTTTCTAGTCTTTTAGACCAGTGATGCCAGTGTTTTAAAATGATATTTTAAAACAAAACTGCGTAAAGGGTGGCTCAGCCCTCTGTGCTGTGACCCTCAGCTCTCTTAAAGAGCAGTGTCGTGTGCAGGCCCCGTTCCTCCTGTTCCCCCTGCCCCTGCAGCCCTCTGAGGTCATGTTGCCACTGACAGATGGTAAACCCACCTGAGGCTCCTAAAAGACTTTCTGCAAAGAGCTCACCTCTGACCACCTGCAACATTGTCTCCCACTCTGACCGCATCATCGTGTTGACTCATGTTTTATAAAATTTACCTCAACAGCCCCAGGGGTCTGATTCAGTCTACATAGACCTCATCATCCTCGGGGTCTCAGATTTCTCCTCTGCAGAATGAGGACCCACACAGTCACCACAGGTCCCTCCGCTCCCCACTCTTCAGAGATGCCCTGTCCAGTATGGGAGCCACGTGCTGCTACTCATGGCTGATTCAGTCACAGTTAACTTCGTTTAAATAAAGTGGAATTAAAAATTCAGTTTCTCGGTTGTGCTCGGCACATCCCAAGTGCTCAGTAGCCACAGCTCTCCAGGGCAGCCCATGTGTCTGTCACAGAGTGCCCTCCTGGCCAGCACTGCCCTACGTGCTGTGACACCGCTGTGTGCAGGCGGCCCTGGGAGCCGGGAGCGTATTGGTGCCTTCGGGGCAGCGGTGATCCATGGCCAGGGAAGCCATAAGCATGGCAGTGGTTGCCCTAAGGTGAAGGCCATGTCCAAGTCCTGATTTTAATCTTGGCCAAAATAAACCATGCAACCTGACTGTGCGCACCTATTGAAGAGCAAGCTCCTCGAAAGGAAAGGGGCGGGTAGGACGGGGCCCCTTGGCACGGTGACCCAGCACTCTGCCCACAGCCAAGAGATGTGTTTAGACTCTGGGCACTGTCCTCTGCGGGGCTGGGGATTGGGGTGCCTGTGTTGAAAAAAGTTATTCCACCCCAAAAAGGACATACTCCAAGTGAGGAACTGAAAAAGGAGGAATGTTCACCTTGGGGTAGAAAGGGGAGCAATAAAGTTTATAGGAAAAGAGAAGTTTAAAGTAACCTCTAATAGGACAGGGAGGAGATTCAAGGGGGGTGGGGGGCAGAGGTGAGGCTGTCAGTCTGTCCAGCCTCGTATCCTCTTGGGGACAAAAAAGACAAGGAAGCCCTGGGGTGGAGGGGAGACTCAGACTGGGTCACAAATTGAAGTCCAGCGTCTGTTCTTTCACATTTGAAAGTTATACAAAAAGGTTGAAACGTGCCATAAATCCAGCACAATCCTAATTAAAATCCCACCTGATTTTTAAAGAAATTCATTAAACTTTAAAATTTATACGGAAGAAAAAAGGTCCACATTGAAACTTTGGAAAAGTCCAGTCAGCTTTGAGGAGATCAGTAGAGGTGATTTCCTGCTGGATTCTACTGACTGCAGACCTGCAGTAACAGCAGTCAGCGGGCAGACACGGGCTTGGGCTCGGGGGTTGGCTCGGGCCAGGCAGCGTGCACACTGGGCCAACTTAGAGGACTGAAAACCTCGGTGTGAAAATAAAACAGGAAGTTAGTAGAAAAATGGGGGAAAACCTATTTGTGAGCGCAGAGTGAAGAACTTAAAACCCAAAGTGCAACCATTGGACAAGGGTGTGTTTTTCTTGTTGTTTTTAACATATATATATATATATATATATATATATATATATATATATATAATTTTTTTTTAATTTCAGATAGGAAGGGAGAGAGAAATAAAAACCAATGATGAGAGAATCTGATTGGCTGCCTCCTGCATACCCCCCACTGGGGACCAAGCCCACAACCTGGGCATGTGCCCTGACCAGGAACCTCCTGGTTCATAGGTCAGTGCTCAACCACTGAGCTACACCAGCTGGGCTGATGGGGGTTTAACATAAAAATGAAAATTCCTGTAGAACAGAGAGCACCTTGAATGGGCCACAGATAGCAGATAGGTATTGAGGTATTGCAGCGTTTAAATCTGGCAAGAGCCTAATATTACATGTAAAGAAGTTTCCCCAAATCAGAGAAGAGATAGGAATCTGTATAGAAATAGGCAAGGGCAAGAGAAGCCAGAGGGCCATGAGCAAAAGAAGTGCTAACTAGACCAGAGGACCCTGCATGCACCTGGGTCGCCTGAGCTCAACTGGAAATACCCTTGGTGCCCATGCTGGGACCGACAAGGCCACAGCCACGTGAAGTGCATCTCCATTAGAGAGGTACAGGACAGCTCCAGAAGGGACGCTTATAGACGGGATGGGGTGGGCAGGGGATCCAGGCTGAGAGTGCTCATGAGCACTGGGCAGCAGGGACCGACCCTCTCTGAGTTTTGAAACAACCAAAGACAAAGTGTAGGAGGCTAGTTTTAGAGAGGGCGTGGGGTTGAAAAGCGACGCCAGTGGGTGGCACTATTGATGGTACAAAGAGGGAAAGCCCACCCACTCTGTGCCACTCCCACTGTCAGGTCCAGGGGAGGGGAGCAGATCAGGCAACCATAATTAATCATGTAGGTACAAGGTGATGTGTGCGAGGGAAGAAGGCAAGAGCATGTTGGGCGTGCTCACTGAGGAGTCACTGAATCTAGCTGGAGCGGGATGACCCTGAAGAAGGGCCAAACTGATCAGAACAGCCCTGGAGGAGGCTGACGGGGCGCTGGGAGGAGGGAAGGAAGAGGGTGAAGAGACACTGACAGAGCAGCCCAGAAAAGGCCGGGCAGAGGGCAAAGGAGGCCTTCACACCAAAGGGAAGGTCTTTTTTCTTAAGCTGCAGTAATTGGAAGCTTTTCATTTTAACTTCCATTAAATGTATTTCTAAATGTTACATAAATGGATATAAAAAGTTATAGTCAAATAAAGCTGATGTAGCAAGTCCTGGGCAGGGCTCTTCCTAGAGCTTGGGACCCAAGGAGACACCTCTGCTGGTTGTAGCTCTCTCTCTCTCTCTCACACACAACTGCAAAAGTAACACAACTTGAAAAAAGTTTCAAGCCATAAAATACTGTAGAGAGTAAAAATTGAAAACTATACCCAGATGAGTCCTCATCTAGGTGTCCCCTATGCATATGTCCCTCCAGGCTCCACTTCCTGCTCCCTGCTGCTCTTGTTGGACCAACAGCCATGCGGTCACCAGAGCCATTTTACCACCAAGAGCAGAGAGCCCCCTAGAGCTGTCCTCTTCATGGGGTGGCCCACGCCTCCCCTGCAGAAGCTCGGTGGGGTCAGCCTGAGGCCACCTCCTTCCTCACAGCCTGCCTCCCACCCTTGGGCCCTGAGTCCCTCCTCAATCCAACCCTTGCACAGGATTCCACCTCAGGGTCTGTGTGGAAAGCTTGACCCTTGACAGACACCTCTGTGCCACTGCTCTCAGGCCCAGGGCATCCCAGCTGCCATCCAGGCTCTGCTGGGCACAAGGGACAGAGCCCGGCCACACGGATCTGACTCTCCCCTCAAGGGCTCTCTGGAAGGGGTGCAGGAATCCGGCAGGACTCCAGCCTAGGCGAGGGTCTGATTCAGGGGTTTCAACAGGCAGAGGAGCGCACACAGCACAACAGCCCTTTGGCCTCCCGTTCTCCTCCACCCACACAGCCTCCAGCTCAGTGATCTGGCGGGGAAGGCTGTGAGGACGAGGGAATGGGCTCCCAGGAGACAGGCGCAGGGCCACGGGAAGGAGGGCTGGGATCCCCTCTTACAGGTGGGCCCTGATACCCAGGAAGTAGCAGAGCTGGTTCTGCAACCTGGGTCCCCTGATGTCCCTATGGGCACAGCACCAGGTGAGGATGACACGAGCCCACCTGTGGCCATCCAGCTGAATTCCACCCCTCCTTTGCCCTCCAGGCCAGCAGCTGGTGGGCACTGAGCTCCCTAAGCAAATAGGGCAGAAAGCAGACGGCAGCATTTGCATGCGGGTGTGCAGGCTCTAGGAAAATGCATTGCCTGTTTGCAGATCTGAGGGCACACCCCCTTTGCAAACAGAGGCAGGTCCTGGGTCCGGGAGCTGGGAGACCTTGCCCAGCCCCGTGCCAGGCACCTCTCCTGCCTGCCCGTTTGCTGAGTTCAGTGAGGACACCAGAGTGGCCGTCACCGCCTGCGCAGGCCTACCAGGACAGGGTCCCACCTAGTCCTCCCCAGGGACCAGCCCAGACTCGCTGCCCGGACCCGGCTCTTGCTGGAAGTGGTCCATGACCTCCGAGGCCTCTTCTGGAAGAAGCCACTGTGCCAGGTGGGGACTGTTCTACATCGCATGGGCACAGGGAGGAAGGTAGGCAGATGGACTCTAGGGAGGCTGGTGAGCACCCCCACCCACCAGGGCTCCAAGGGGTGGATTCTCCAGGGAGGCTGGCACCCCAAGACCTGGCACAGGGCTGGGGGTCATGAGAAGGACCAGGTGCTCAGAGTGGCTTTGTGCAGGGCACCCCAACCCTAGGGAGCCCAGTTTTCCCACCTGTCCAATGAACCCACCACAGAACAGGTTACTCCTGGCCTTTTGCTTGGGGCATCCTCTGTTCTGTCTCTTCTGAACAGAGCACCGAGGAGGCCCCCTCCCCGCCTGCTCACAGCAGTAGGAACGCCCCACACCCACACTGGCTCTGGGGCATCTGGAACCTGGCAGGGTCAGGAGGTGTGGGCACCACGTCTGCCCCTCCAGCCTCAGTCTATCTGGACTAGATGAACGGCTCCCTGTCCCCTCTGGCCTCCCGTGTCTCCACCACCCACATAGCCTCCCAGCTCAGTGACCCTGGTGATGCCACTCAGGGCCACACCAGTTCTGCTGGTGTGAACCACCAGCCCCAGCTCAACTCCAATCCCCTTCCAGGCCACAGGGCTGCTCTCACTCTTTGCCCCACTTTGCCAACCCGTCAACTGGAACCGTGGTGACTGTCCTCCCCACAAAGGGACCCAGAGGGGGGGGGGGAATGCAGACTCAGCACGACCAGGCCCAGGACCCCGAGGAGGAGCCAGGGTCCTGTCTCTGTTAAAGGGTATCGTCTGTCCCCCACAGGCGACAGAAGGAAGAGGGGTACCCGTGCTCCAAGCCCACATGCAGGGCTGAGGGGGAGGTGGGTACTCATCAGACAGACAGACAGACAAGTAGGCAGCTCCCTCGCCCAGTTCTGGGGTCTTCACGTGGTCCCAAGTCAGACGGCCCAGCCTGGCCTGGCCCTGCCTGCAGCCCCTGGGCCCTGTTCTCACCTGTCAGGGGTCTGAGGGCTGTGCGGTGGTGCAGCCACGTCTCACGTGCCCCTCTTTACTCTGGCACCCACCCTGGTCCTGGCGGGTGCAGGAGCGGGATGCTGCGGAGGCGGGCCCCAGAGGAGGACAGTGCTGTCCTGATCGACATGGCCCCGGGGATGGAGAAGGGGGACTCTTACGGAAGCACAGCCAACACCTCACAGGTAACTCTCCATCACCAGGGACCTTGGGTACAGGAGGCCCAGCACAGCCCTTTGGCTCCCCGCCCTGGGCTTCAGGCCATGGTCTAAGGTGGATACTGGAGGGTCTCTGGGCCCCCATGCCCAGAATGGACACAGGGACTCTGGGGACAATGGCTTGCACTGGCCCCGAGCCCCTGGGGTGGATGCTTCCTGGAGATGCCAAACCCTCACCTGTTGCATGGACCTCCAGTGTCCCCAAGCTGCCTGGGAAGAGGGAGGTGTCACAGTTAGGTCGCTGCCTGCCTCGCTGACCCCTGGGATGGCTAGATGAGGCCACTCAGGTGAAGGAGGGGACAGGGTCAGATCCCATCAGCATGGAGGAGAGAGGGGGGGACATTGGGCTCCCATTCCTGGCCCTGGGGACCGGGAGGGTCACAGACACCCTGAGTGAGGCTGTTAGGAGGATTCCTGGTCCTCCTGAGCTTCGTGTCTGCCTCTAGGTGCTGCCCATCCCACCCCCACAGCTGAGAGCAGACACAGGGGCCCTTCCTGCTGCCCCACAACACAGTGTCTGGAGATGGGGGACACAAGGCCTCATTCAGCAGAACAGGATTCCGCCCTCTGGGTGCATGACCACCTCTGGCCATCCACAGGCCACTTACAGGGCAGCCCAACTCCCCTCTAGTCCCTGGAGCCAGCAGGGTGGACACCCTGGGTACTGGCCATGCTGCCTGCAAACCTGACCCTTGCCCACTGCACAGAAGCCAGGGCAGGCAGGAAGGGCGTGGGCTGCCTCATCCTGGATGTGCCTATGGGCCCCCTGCCCACACCCAATGGTGTCTCCCTCCATTCGGCCTTCCGTGTTCCTGGGTGGTCTAGGGCAGGGTGGGGGTGCGTTCTCACGGTGAGGTGCTTTCCTTCCAGCCCGATGGACACCAGGCGGCCACTTGCAGGGTGGGGAACCCTGCCAAGCCCCAGATCGGTGAGCCCTTCCCAGTATCTGCCAGCTGTTCCTGTGTTGGTCCTGGGGGTGGGAACACAGATGGGGCACCCCCAGGTGGTAGGAGAAGGACAGCAGGTCTGGGTCACCATCCTCTGTGACCAGGCTGCCCCTCCCCACCCCAGCACTATCTCCTGAGCCAGCTCTGGTGCCAATTGCTGTGCTGGGAAATGGGGTGTGGGCCCCATGGTGAGCAGAACACAGTCTGGGGGCACAGCAGGAAAGGGGGTTCCTACTGAGGGGCTGGAGCTGAGAGAGCTCTGGAGGGCAGAGTGGAGGCCCATCTCCCTCCTGCTCTGGACTCAGGACAGCTTGGAGTCACCTCAGATTCTTTTTATTTTTTAATTTATTTTTAGAGAGAGGGTAAAGGAGAGGGAGAGAGAGAGATAGAGAAACATCGATGTGAGCGGAATATCGATCAGCTGCCTCCTGCACATCCCCAATGGGGATCAAGCCCACAACCGGGGCATGTGCCTGAACAGGAATCGAACCAGCAACCTTTTGGTGCACAGGACAATGCCCAAAAAACACCAGCCAGGGCTCACCTCAGATTCTTATCTGTTGTACCCCATAGCTTTTCCACCTTCTCCTCACCCCACCCCCACTGCTCCTGTCTGCCCCAAGCCACCATCATCTCTGAGAGGACTGCACCCCACTGGGCTCACCCACCTGACCCTGCCCTCCATGCAGCAAAGATCCTTGTTAATGTGCCCTCACCCCCCACCCACTTACAACAACAACAAAAACAGGAAATACCAAGTGTTGGTAAGGATGCAGATAAATTAGAACCCTGTGCACTGCTAGTGGGAATGTGAAATGGTGCAGCCCCTGTGGGGAACAGTATGGAGGTTCCTCAAAAAATTATGCCCTAACCGGTTTGGCTCAGTGGATGGAGCATCGGCCTGTGGACTGAGGGGTCCCAGGTTCGATTCTGGTCAAGGGCATGTACCTTGGTTGCGGGCACATCCCCAGTGGGGGATATGCAGGAGGCAGCTGATCAATGTTCCTCTGTCATCGATGTTTCTGACTCCCTATCCCTCTCCCTTCCTCTCAGTAAAAAATCGATAAAATATATTTTAAAAAATTTAAACACAGAGTTACCATGTGGCCCAGCAACCCCACTTCTGGAGAGACCCAAAAGAATTGATGATGAACATTTAGGTTGTCTCCATTTGAGGGGAGTGGGGGCTGTTGTGATAACGTCTTGGTGGGCATTCCCAAACACGATTTTGCGTAGTCATAAGTGTTCATCTTTGAGTGGAATTGCCAGGTCACATGGTGACTCAATGTTTAACATTTTGAAGAGCTGCCAAACTGTTTTACAAAGTGACAGCCCATTTTACAAACCATCAGCAATGTGCAAGGCTTCCAGTTTCTCCACGTCCTGTCCAGCACTTACTGTCTGTCTTGATGACAGTCATCCCAGTGGGTGTGAAGTGGCATCTCTATGTGGCTCATGTTTGTAATTTCCTAATGACTCATGATAGTGAGCGTCTCTTCATAGGCTTATTGGCCATTTGTACGTCTTCTTTAGAGAAATGTCTATGCAAAATCTTTGCCCATTTTAAAATTGGGTTCCTTGTCTTCTTATAAAGTTGTAAAAGTTCTTTATGTATTCTGGATACAAGACCCTTATCAGAACACTATTTACAAGTATGTTTTTCTCCCATTCTGTGGGTTGCCTTTTTACTTTCCTGCCACTGTCCTTTGAAGCATATAGGTTGTTCATTTTGACAAAGTCCATCTTATTAATATTCTCTTTTATTGCTGTGCTTTTGGTGTTGTATCTAAGAATCCAGGTCATGAGGATTTATTTCTATATTTTCTCCTGAGTCTTATTATCATTTCATTCTTTTTTAAATATATTTTTATTGATTTCAGAGAAGAAAGGAGAGGAAGAGATAGAAACATCAATGATGAGAGAGAATCATTGATTGGCTGCCTCCTGCATGCCCTACACTGGGGATGGAGCCCACAACCCAGGCATGTGCTCTGTCTGACTGGGAGTCAAACTGTGACCACTTGGTTCATGGGTCAATGCTCAACCACTGAGCAATACCGGTGAGGCCAACTCTGTTCTTTTTCAATATTCTGGATCTCATGTGTTTCCACAGGAAGTTCAAACTTGTCAATTTCTGGGGGCGGGGGGAGCCAGTTGTGGGTTTGATAGGAATTAAGCCTGTAAATCAGTTTGCTATCCTGGCCAGGTTGTCTTCTTCACATGCAACTCATGCACAAGGGATGCTTCACATTTATTTAACTTGTCTTCAATGTATTTCAACATTAGGTAGTTTTCAATGTATAATTCTTTTTTTTTTTAAACATATTTTATTGATTTTTTTTTTTACAGAGAGGAAGGGAGAGAGATAGAGAGCCAGAAACATCGATGAGAGAGAAACATTGATCAGCTGCCTCCTGCACGCCCCCCACTGGGGATGTGCCCGCAACTAAGGTACATGCCCTTGACCGGAATCGAACCCGGGACCCTTGAGTCCGCAGGCCCACGCTCTATCCACTGAGCCAAACCGGTTCTGGCTTCAATGTATAATTCTTGCACATTTTTTTAATTTGTTCCTTTTTTGGTGCTGTTGTATATGGAATTGTTGTTGTAAATGGAATTGTTTTTCTTCATTTCATTTTTGGCTTGTTTATTACTAATATATGGAAATATAATTGATTTTTTAAAAATTTATTTTAGAGATGAAGGGAGAGGGAGAAAGAGAGAGAAAAAATCATAGATGTGAGAGAGAAACATTGATCAGTTGCCTCCCATATGCACCCCGACTGGGGAGTGAACCCACAACCTGGGTATGTGTGCTGACCAAGAATCGAACCATGATGCTTCAGTGCACGGACAACACTCCAAACAACTGAGCCACACTGGCCAGGGCTACAGTTGAAATTTATATGTTGATTTTGTATCTAACAACCTTCTCAAACCTGTTATTAGTTCTAATAGTTTTTGTAGTGAATTCCTTTGGAATATCTATATACAAGATCATGTCCTCTGTAAATAGGTCATTTTACTTTCACATTTAACTGTTTACCCTTTGCAGTGTACTCATTCTTCTTGCTCATCTGCATTTCCATCTGAGAGTATCACCTTTGGCCTCAAGGACTTCCTCCCGTGTCTCCTGTAGAGCAGATGTGCTGGACTTCATTTCCCAGATTTTGATTGTTTGAGGATGTTTTCATTTAGCCTCATCTCTGAAGAACATTTCTACAGAATAAGAATTCCAGTGTTCCGTATTTTCCCCAGCACTTTAAACATGCTATTCTACTGTCCTTTGGCTTCCATGGTTTCTGTTGAGAAATCGGGTGTCCATACTCTTATTGTTCCCTGAAACATAATGGTGTTTTTTCCCCCTCTTTCTCTGTAGTGCACAGCAAAGACACGTTGTCTATGGTTTTTCTAGCTGGAGTTTCTTTATCCTGCTTGGGGATCACTGAGATGTTTTATCCTTTGTATTGATTTTTGTGCCGCGCCAGCATGGCCATGGGTGAACCTGAGAGGGGGCGGTGAAGGATTAGAAAAGACAGACAAGAGAAGAAAGCTGGGGCTGGGTGGGATGCTGCCCTCTCTGATGGAGAGACAGAGTCACGGCCTGCAAACCGAGTCTTTATTTTATAGCCAGATTCCACGAGGCAAAGTAAGGGCGTGGTCAAGATGTTTACAACGTTCTCCTGGGTTTGGAATCTACTCAATTACATGCACCTGATCAAGCTTTGTTTACTCGCTGCACTTCTGCATCCTATATCACTTAACCACCTGGGAGCCGCTCGCCACAATTTTTTTCCCCATCAGATTTAAAAATTCTTGACCATTTTTCTTTAAAAAGTGCTTCTTCCTACTCTCTCTCTCTCTGATTCTCAGATCATATGTGTTGGGCCCTGTGACCATGACCACATGCTCTTGTCTAGAGGGGTAGGCCAGTGTCCCAGTGCTTGACTCCTGCTTCCCACCCAGTACCTGGGTGTCCCAGCTGGGAGACTGGCACCCCTGAGCCTGTCCTCCCTGCTTCTGTCCCTGTTGGTTCCCAGCAGACTTTGTCCTTGTTTGGGAGGAAGACCTGAGGCTGGGTCAGCAGCAGGACAGTGCCACCCAGGACAAGAGAGACACACACAGGGCCTGGCGGGAGACGTTCCTGGATAACCTTCGTGTGGCTGGCCTGCATGTGGACCAGGTACAGGGGCTGGTTGCGGGCAGGGCCCTAGGCTCTGCATCCACTAGGCTTGGGGGCATGACAACAAGTCAAGCCCAGAGTTGTACTGGATGGCCCTCCCCTCAGGTCAAATATCAACCCGTCGTCGCACACCAGCTCGCTCACAGAAGCCAGAGCCCTTCGGATTCACCAGAAAAGCCGCCTGCATCACTGGTGCAGCGCCTGCTGGTGACTCTGCTGTGTTAAAGTGACTGCCTACTTGAGCCAGGGGAGCAGGGCTGCTTGGGCAGTACTCTGAGCTCAGGCCTTGAGGAGGGTTTGCTCATCACAGGGGGTATGGCTGGCATCGGCCCTAGCAGCTTGGTGTCCTCTGTCTGTCGCTGATTGCCTGATTGCCAGACAGGGGCAGGCACCCTGTGCTTGGCTTTCAGAGGCGCTGTCACTTATCAAATAGGTTTAAAACCATGGCTGGTTGGTTGTTAACATGGCTACAGAAACATCTGCCTTTTCCTAAAAGTGTGAATGGACACACACACACAAGGGCACACACCCTTGTGTGCACACACACCCATACACACACACCTATGCACACATGCACGTGCGCGCACACACTGTGTACAAATATTCACCCACATATGCACCCATACAAACATGCACCCATGTGTGTACACATGTACATATATGCACACTGCAAACATGGGCACACATGTACACAGGGCACCCTCAGGCTCTGACAGAGCCCTGGTCCCCACAGCATCATGTACAGGATGAGGACAGCGCTGTGCACTACATCCTCCTCAGCGCCCCCTGGGCCGTGCTCTGCTACTACGCGGAAGACCTGCGCCTGAAGCTGCCCCTGCAGGTACCCGGGAGTGCATGACATGCAGAGAAGGCCTGGAGGTCCCCCCAAGCCAGGGTTACTCATGACTGCACCCCATGTGCTGGGTGCAGTGTCCATTGCTGACAACCTGAGGCTCCCCATTTTGTCCTCAAAGGTCCCTCCTAGCGGCCATCACTGTTCTCCAGGAAGCCTTATTAGGCAGACAGGTGGGGCGGTCATACCCCACAACCATGGCTGCTCTGGGGAGGTAGGGAGGCATGGGCAGTGTGTGCAGCAACCATGGCTTAGTCTAACCACCTGGGCCCTCCAGCTCCGACCCCCACCAGGCTGCCCATTGAGAACCACTGCAGGACGGGGAGGGGCAGCCTGGGGACACAGTGTGACGGGGCAGCGGGTGACCTCCGGATGATGTGCCTGGGGGCTGCTCTGCCACCTACTCTGGATCCCTTTGACCATCATGGCATTTGGTGGACAAAGGGACACGTGACCGTCTGAACCTCCCTACCGTGAAATCTGGGCCTCGGCTGGACCAGCTGAGCCCCCTAGCACCCAGGACCGAGACAGGAAGGGGCTTGCCCGTTCCCTGGCTGAGCCCTTTTGCTGTTGCTCAGTTTGCAAATCTACACACCTCACCCCACCGCATGGCATCGTGCTCAGGGGTGGGAGGAACAAGTGATGATCCTTTCCAGGAGCTGCCCAACCAGGCCTGCAACTGGTCGGCCAGCCTGCTGCAGTGGCTGGGCATCCCCAATGTCCTGCTGGAGGACGTGCCCGATGTGCCCCCCGAGTGTTACTCCTGCCAGTTCAAAGTGAGCAAGCTGTCGAGGTGAGAGACAGTGGCCCTGCTGTGCCCGCGGGACAGCTTCACACGGTGCCCAGGGCTGGGGGACACAGCCAGGGATGCGTGCATGAGAGGTCAACGGGTGACAGATCTTAACCTCCAGAACCTTCTCCTTTCTGGGGCTTGTTAACCAGGGAGCGTGAGTGGCAGGTGGGCAAGTTTCTGTGCACGTCCACTTCAGTCAGGACAGGCAGCTTGTGCTGCGGACAAACGTTCCCCAAGCCTCAGTTGCTGGCCACACGGCCCATGTCCTACTCAATGACATGTCCGTGGTGGGTGGCAGGGTCTCCCAGGCCCAGGTGGCTGGAGGCCCTCCTCTCACAAACGAGGCAGAAGATGGTCGTGGTCAGTCCTCACTGGCTGCTGGTGGCACCTCTCCTGTGTGTGTGTGTCACATGGCACACCTATGTTTGGTGCTCCAATGCACATGGAAGCCACGGGCTCCTTGGTGACCCTGGGGCTTTCCCACTGTCCTGCCCTCTGCCAGCCTCTGTCCCGGATGGAGGATGTCTATGACTTCTGGACAATGTTCTGTGACCTCCTGCCTCCAGGAAGGAAAAGACAAAAATGGGACTTGATTCTGCGTGGGGGGTGGAGGGTGGGGTGGGGGTGGAAAGGGGATGGTGGCTGTTCCCCAGTGTGCGAGGAGAAATCATGAGTGTGGTCAATGTGTGTGTGTGTGTGTGTCCCTGCCTTTGTGGACTCTTCTGCACTTTTCACATGCCCACAGGTTCCTCAGGAGTGACGACCAGGACACCTTCTTCACCTGCACCAACAGGCACCAGATCGTGAGTGGGGGTCCCCACTGCAGTCCCCACACCCTGACCCGGCTCAAAGGAGCCTGAGGTCGGGACACAGGAAAGCTCTCCTGTGATTGGAGCACTGAGGCCAGGGCTGGGGGCTGGAGACTTAGGGGTGCCCCCTCATTGAACTCAGTGCCCCCGCGGGAGCCCCCAGGGCTCAGGATGGATATCTGGTTATGAACTTGTGGGACAGGCAGCCACGGCTACTGACCCAGGTGGATGTGGGTCCTGCTGGTCAGTGAGGAAGAGAGCCGAGGGTCAGAGTATCGTGCCTGAGAAGGGTGGGCTGAGCCAGCCACTCCAGGGTCTGTGACAGGAAGAGGCTTTGGACAGGCCTGCCTAGGCCACCCCCTGCTGGCCACCAAAGGGACAGAGCCCACGCCTGACACAGCCGTCCAACTGGAGGCTGGCCCTGCCCAGAGCCAGGAGCTGGGGTCAAATCCAAGCCCGACTCCTGTGCGCCCCCAATCTGGCCCAGGGTTGTGATTGTACAGTGGAGAGTGACCGTCCCACCTCAGGGGTGTGGGGTGTATGAGCCGGGGACAGGAGGGAGATCTGGGCGCACAAAGTGTTCTCTTCATTTGTCACCAGAGGCTGTGGGAGGCTGTCCGTGGGCTCAGCCCCAAGATGGGAGGGCCAGGATGTCCCTACCCTGCCATCACATGACAGGTGACCAGTGCCCCCCCCACCCCCCCAGCTGTTTGAGATCCTGGCCAAGACCCTGTACGGCCATGAGAAGAAAGGTCTGTTTGGGATCGACCAGCTGCTGTCCCAGGGCGTCTTCAAGGCAGCCTTCCCCCTGCACGAGGTGAGACCTGGGGGCTGGAGAGGCTGTGATGGGGGTCTCGGACCCAGGCATGGGCTGAGTTCCTAGATGAGGGGTCTTGCTGTCACCTGTCGGGTCAGCTGTAGCCAGACAGGAAGCCTGTAATGTGACCAGGCCATGCTGCTGTTCAAGGTCCTGGGCAGCCAGGCACTGCCCTCTCAGCACACGAGAGGCCCAACAGCTGCATCTTCATGGGGGAGACAGTGAGGTCCCCTATGCTCCCCAAATCTGGGTAAACTGAACAGTGAAGGGGCGCTCACCTTCGTCCTGACAAAATGTCCACCGAGGTCTGGAGGCTGTTTATGCCCCTCACACCCGCAGCTGCCCACCGAATTCAGAGCTGCAGGAAGGGGCAGCAGGGTGGAGGGCAGGGTCAGGCCTGCAGCTGCTGTGTGAGGTACCGAGGGGCCACCTGAGGACATGGAGCGGAATGGCCAGCTCCACTTTGGCTGTGGGGCATCCCTCTTCCCGCCTCTGGCCAGAGCACAGGACGCACAGCGCCTGGCACAGCCGGCCTCACTTGCCTGGTGCTCGGCGGGTAGCACAGCCCCAGGCTGCAAAAGCCCACCCACCCAGAGATGCCAATCCATCCTGGACCACAGCCGCAGCTCCTCCTGGACGCAGACCCCGGGACCCCCGGGAGGCCGAGGTGCCCAGCTCAGATGCCTCTCCCAGAGAGGCCTTCCTAGATGCCCCCGGGACCCAAACATAACTGTCATCCTCGAGCAGCAACCCTGCGTCCAGGACACCAGGCACGTGGCCTTGCCCAGCGCTGAAGGCCTACACTTAGAATAGGGCCCGGTAGGATGCCCAGACCAGCCTGAGTCCCGCCCACTGGCTTCTCGTCCCCAGGGCCCCTTCACAACACCCCCTGAGGGCCCGTGGGCCCCTGGCCTCAACCAGCGGCAGGTCCTGTTCCAGTACTGGGCCCGCTGGCGCAAGTGGCACAGGTACCAGCCTCTGGACCACGTGCGCAGGTACTTCGGGGAGAAGGTGGCCCTCTACTTCGCCTGGCTGGGTAAGTCCCACCCACTGCCCCTTGGGGCCTCCTGGGCCCCCGACTTTAGTCTTCAGGGTAATAGTCTCCAAGAGGGGAGCAAGCACTGGGGCTGGGCTGCCAGCGTGCTGATCCCTCCTAGGCCAACACAGCCACTGGCCCAGGGCGTCTTCACACCCCAGTGAGGGCCTGGGAACCCCCTTCTGCAGGTGGGCCTCCCCACTCCAGCCACCAGACCCGGCCCATGAGGCCTTGGTCATGTGGTGGGGGCTGCAGAGCCCAGGACAGAGGCTAGGACAAAGGGGCTGCCAGGGGGACCTCTGAGGACTGTCCCCCTCACGACTGCCTCCCAGATGGCCCCAAACCCTGCTGGTTGGAGGTGGGTCTCTGGGGGACAACTGTGTCTGTGCAGACCCCCACCCGGCACTCAGCCCAGCGCTGGGTGCACAGACCCATCATGGTTGCTGACAGCTGGCTCCTGGCACCCCTACCTGGCTCCCCTCTGCAGGGTTCTACACAGGCTGGCTCCTGCCAGCGGCCGTGGTGGGCACGCTGGTATTCCTGGTGGGCTGTTTCATGGTGTTCTCAGACACACCCACGTAAGTGCCCTCTCCCCTCAGCTCCCAGGCCTCACCCTGTGTCTCCGGGGAGGGTGGAAGGGGGACCCCCACCTGCCAGACCCTGTGCAGAGCTGGGGGTGGAGGTGAACATGAGCACCTCCCGCCTTCCTGGATCTGGCTGGAAGGGTGACAGGTAGATAGGGGTGCTCCAGAGACTGACCATCGGACAGGTGTGACCTCAGGCTGACACAGGTGAACAGGTGTGTTCCCACACTGATACGTGTGCTCCAGACTGACACAGGTAGACAGGTGTGTTTCCAGGATGACACAGGTAGACAGGTGTGTTTCCAGGATGACACAGGTAGACAGGTGTGTTTCCAGACTGACACAGGTAGACAGGTATGCTTCCAGGATGACACAGGTAGACAGGTGTGTTTCCAGGATGACACAGGTAGACAGGTGTGTTTCCAGGATGACACAGGTAGACAGGTGTGTTTCCAGACTGACACAGGTAGACAGGTATGCTTCCAGGATGACACAGGTAGACAGGTGTGTTTCCAGACTGACACAGGTAGACAGGTATGCTTCCAGGATTACACAGGTAGACAGGTGTGTTTCCAGGATGACACAGGTAGACAGGTGTGTTTCCAGGATGACACAGGTAGACAGGTGTGTTTCCAGGATGACACAGGTAGACAGGTGTGTTTCCAGAATGACACAGGTAGACAGGTATGTTTCCAGAATGACATAGGTAGACAGGTATGTTTCCAGGATGACACAGGTAGACAGGTGTGTTTCCAGGATGACACAGGTAGACAGGTGTGTTTCCAGAATGACACAGGTGGACAGGTGTGTTTCCAGGATGACACAGGTAGACAGGTGTGTTTCCAGGATGACACAGGTAGACAGGTGTGCCCCTAGAATGACACAGGTAGACAGGTGTGCTTCTAGGATGACACAGGTAGACAGGTGTGCTTCCAGACTAATTGTATTGGTACCCTTGTTTCTTGGAATAGTGTAAGCTTTTCTTTTAATAAACAAAAGACAGGGCTTGAATTTTACTTTATTATGGAGCTGAAATTTCAAAAAGTTATCTCAAAAATTATCATTGCATATATTTTAAAGAAATGCTGGGCCTGGCAAGGGAGTGGCGGGAGGGAGAGGACAAGGGGCAGACCAGGTAGGAAGGGGTCCCCGTGCTCCAGCACCCCCCTCCACTCTGCAGGCAGGAGCTGTGCAGCAGCGCCGATAGCTTCCAGATGTGCCCACTCTGCCTCAACTGCCCCTTCTGGCTGCTCTCCAGCGCCTGCGCCCTGGTCCAGGTACGAGGAAGGGTGGGCGAAGGGAGGAAGGCAGCCCCCTGGGTCCTGGTCCTGCCCCCCCTGTGACCCCAGCTCTGTGGTGATGTCTGCACCTGGCGTGGGGTTGGGACTGGTGCGCCCCTTGGCGGAGTGCCTGCACCAGTTGGTGCCCAGAGGTGGGCCCTTACTCTTGTTGCTGTTATTGTCTGTAACTGACCAAGAGGAACCAGAGGACCCCCAAAGGCAGGCACAGCTGAGCCCCCAGCTTAAGAGGTGGGGGCAGCTAGCTCCTCGGAGGCCTTGGGCCCGGTGGGCCCCCACAGCCGCCCAGCACACTGTGGGGTATTAGCTTTTCTTTGTGGCCTCACCTGCAGCCCCCACACACCGGGCTTGGAGCTCTTGGTGCATTGTTGGGGCCCAGACCAGACACACCTTTGACACACTCCTGGCACCGTCTGTACCGTTTCCCAGGGCTGCTCTAACACATTCCTGTTCTTGAAACAACAGGAATTACTTTCCCGCAGCTCAGAGGCCAGAAGTCCAAACTCTGGGTGTTAACAAGGCTGGCTTCCCCTGGCCTGTTCCCTGCCTTGCTCTTACTTCTGGTGGCTGCACCACCCCAATTTCTGCCTCTGTGTTCACGTGGCCTTTCCCTCTGGGCACCTGTGCCTATCCCCCTTCTCTTCTGTCACAAGGATTTGCCCCTAAACCGGGGTACTTTCATGTAGAGACCCCACCTTAATTACACACACAAAGGCCCTTGTTCCAAATAAGCTTACCTTCCAGGTGGGGGCCACAATCCAGTCCACTACAGTCCACCCTCTGGCCCCCAAAACGTCAGGTTCGTGCAAAATACAGTCACTCCAACCCAACATCCCCAAGTTCTAAACTCAAGTCCAAAAATCTCCCAAATATCAACAGCTCAAAAAGTCCAGAATCTCACCTACATCACCTAAGTCGTTATGGGGGAGACTCGGGTGTGGCCGTCCTGGGGCAACATCCCACTATCTGCTGCCCCATGCCGGGGAACAAGTCGCCTGCTTGCACAATACGATGCGTTGCTCAAGGGAGAAACTGAGGCACAGAGGGGCCAGCAGTCGAAGCGAGTGTGAACCATGCGCCCCGCCCGCAGGCCGGCCGGCTCTTCGACCACGGCGGCACCGTCTTCTTCAGCGTGTTCATGGCCCTGTGGGCAGTGCTGCTCCTGGAGTACTGGAAACGCAAGAGCGCCACGCTGGCCTACCGCTGGGGCTGCTTCGACTACGAGGACATCGAGGTGGGTCGGTCCCCAGACCGTGGCCACTGCCCACGAGGCCGCCACTAAGCATTGGCTTCCTTCCAGGAGAGGCCGCGGCCTCAGTTTGCTGCCTCGGCCCCCACGACAGCCCTGAACCCCATCACCGGCGAGGAGGAGCCCTACTTCCCCAAGAGGAGCCGTATGCGCCGCGTGCTGGCCGGCTCCGTGCTGGTGCTGATGATGGTGAGGGTCCTGCCATCCTCCCTCCCTTCACGCCCCTTCCTCCTGAGCTGCTGGGGGCAGCTGTTGTCCCCCCTACTCCTGGGACCCGGGAGACACTTGCTGCCGCAGAAAGGCCTTCGTGTGCCTGGGCTCCAGAGAAGGGGCCAAGCTCAGGGCCAGGGCAGGGGGTCTGGGTTATAAGACGTGAATGTGTGTGGGCAGGGACTCCCAGAATGTTTCCCCACGGATGTGGGCTTGGGGCATCTTCAAGCATGGGGGGGATCCCGGCAGGGGGTTCCTCCAGCCAAAGGGGCTCCCTAGCATGACCCTCCCTTCCCCTCCCCTTCCAAGATGGCAGGAATTCCCAAGTTTTGGCCGGTGGGAGAGCAGGGTGGGGGGCTGGATGGTTGATTCTCAGCACTTGGGACCAAGAACAACGCACAGTGGCTCCCTTGACACCCGGATATCGCCCACCTGTAATTCTAAATGGCCTCCCAGCCCTCTCCCTCCCCAGCTCCCCATCCTGCCTCCCTGTCCCTCCAACAACCCACTGGAAGAAGCACGGAGCACAGCCAGGCCTATAAGTGGGGGCTGTGGCCTGAGGGTGCTGGAGTCCCAGGCCTAGGCGTGGGGGCTCATGCACTTGGTCACCCATAGGTGGCAGTGGTGGTCATGTGCCTCGTGTCCATCATCCTGTACCGCGCCATCATGGCCATCCTGGTGTCCAGGTCTAACAACACCCTCCTGGCAGCCTGGGTGAGCCTCCACTGCCTGCTCCTGCTGGGGGGGGGGGGGATGGCTCGGGACCACCCCCAGCACCAGCTCTGACCCACCACCTGTCACCAGGCTTCTCGCATTGCCAGCCTCACAGGCTCCGTGGTGAACCTGGTCTTCATCCTTGTTCTCTCCAAGATCTACGTGGCCCTGGCCCACATCCTGACAAGATGGGGTGAGTGGCCAAGGCTGAGTGACTCAGGACCATCCCAGCCCTGCTGCCCGAGGCAGAACACACTTCCTTGCAGATCACAGGGTCCTCCAGTCTGAATGAGGCACAGATGGGATGTGAGACCCGCCCCCAACTGTGAGCAGTACCTGCGGGTGGAGACAGGAGGGTCCTCTGGGGCACCCAGGCCTTGCCCTGCTGCTGGGGTGCCCTTACCCTACCCCTACCCCGTGTAGAGGGCTGTTCGAAGCTGAGCTCCCCTGGGATGGTCTGCCCAGCCCAGGCCCCCCTGTGTGCCCCTGCTTTCTCAGTGTCTGAGAGAGAACTAGAGGTGGCTGCAGAGTGAACTCCTTCCTTCTCCTCCTCTGCCCGCCCCCACTGCCTGCCTCTCTCCCCACTTTCTCTACTCTCCCATTTCCTAAAGGCAAAAGCCAATGAACCAGTTCATTCATTCCACACATTGTCTATTAGCAGCCCTGGTCTAGGAGTGGGACAGAGAGCTCAGTGTCCACCTGGGGGGAGCCTTCGGGTGGGCAGGTGTCCCAGGGAGCCCCCACCGTGTTCCTGCAACAGCAGGGCCATGTGCATCCCGTTTCCGGCCTCGGGCGTCCCCTCCAATTCACCTTTTATGCCCCGACCTCTGTCTCAGCACCGGCTTTCCAGGAACGGTCACCCCAGCCTCAGAATGTCACTCCGCTCGGCCTCTGGCTACTCTCTGTGCCCTGCCATTTCACCCTCAGCATTGCTGTGGCTTATCACCTGCCAGCTCTTCCTGCACCAACATAACGTTTTTAGATGATTTTGAAATTAGAACTTGAGGAAAGCTGCCCTCTGCCCCCTTCCTGAACGAGTTTCTGTCCAATATCTGGGCAACACGGCTTTCCTCACTCCCTGGACGGGTGAGGTGGTTACAGGGCTGGGCTGTGGGGGACTGAGCGAGCCTCTCTGCCCAGAAATGCACCGGACGCAGACCAGGTTTGAGGACGCCTTCACCCTCAAGGTGTTCATCTTCCAGTTCGTCAACTTCTATTCCTCGCCCATCTACATCGGCTTCTTCAAGGGCAGGTCAGCACGGCTTCCCCTGGCCGCACCTCACCCTGAGCCCTGCTCCTGCGCTGCCCCAACCCATGTGGCCCCAGAGGCTCAGGAGGGTGGGGATGACAGTCCAGGAGGCCTGGTGGGACAGCAGCTGTCCTGGCTCAGGCCTCAGAGCAAATGCAGCAAGGGAGATAGTGGGGGGAGAGGGAGGGGCAGCTGATGCACCTCCTCACTTGCAGCCTCAGGGGAGAGGGAGGGGCAGCTGATGGCACCTCCTTACTTGCGGCCTCAGGACCTCCATTTCCTCTAGGTTTGTGGGGTACCCAGGCAGCTACCACACCTTGTTTGGGGTTCGCAACGAGGAGGTAAGTGTGTAGGGACTGACACCCACAGGTCCTGCCCCCTAACCTCCATCAGAATGTTAATTTGCAGGGATTCTTTCTGCCCTCCCCCCTCACAATCGCAACTGCCCCAGGACCCCCACAGCAGGCTCTTCATAGCATTCTCAGACCCCCACCTGGAACAGCACCCACACAACACAATCGTGTCCTCATGTGTCACCCTTTCCCCACGCTGACCTGACTTGTGAATCAGGTCAGCGTGGGGAAAGGGTGACGCTTCCACTGCCCAGAGCTCCGCTGGGAACATAGAGGCTGGTGACTCTCCCAGGGTTCGGAGCCCACTGTGGGCACCTGGGCTTGCCCTGCCCACCCTCATAGACACTGACGAAAGCCCCTTGAGATCCCCAGGCATCTGGCTCCTCACTGGCTGAGGGCACAGCCTGGGTGGAGCTGGAACAGTGCACAGGTGGTCTCTGGGCCAGGGCGGCGGGGCTCCAACTGCTCCGCCGAGTGCCTCACCTGGAAGACCCTCTCCTGTCTGGCCGGAAAGGCTCCCTCCTTCCCATGGGTCTGGTCTGTGACCCAACCCCACTGCCTGCAAAGCGGCCAACCCCGAGGAACAGTCTAGCTTCACATGAGCGGGGAGGGGCTTTTCAGGGACTGGGCAGCTGGGACCCCAACTCAGGGGGCTTTTGGTCACCAGTGGGAAAAGTTCCCAACGCACACTGGCTTAACGAAAACAGAGTTCCTTCCCGTCGGTTCCGATAATGAAACCGGTCAGGCCCTGTGGGCTCAGGTGGGGCTGGGTGCAGGCGTCTGAACAAGGCTGCCCGACTTCCCCAGCACTGGCCTTGTGCTCGGTCAGGTTCTCCCAACCCCTGGGAGGCCAACATCCCAACAGCACAGGCCGACGCCCTCTTGCTTGCGACCCCTGTGCAAGGTATGCTGTCTCAGGAGCCCCCCCTAACGCCCCCGTGCACCTCTCACTGGCTGGAATTGCTGAGGCTAATAGTGGGTCCTCCCTGGAGCCACGGGGCCAGCATCAGCCTCATGCCATGTGGGTCTCCAAAGAAAACCTGGGTGCCCTGCAGCAGTGGCCCTGGTCATTCCCACGCACCGTCCACCAGGTGGACCTTGGGGAGACAGTGGGGGGGCTTCGGTGAGGTCTGGGGGGGGTGGGGGGACTTCGGTGAGGTCTGGGGGGTGGGTCTGTGCAATCCATGGCATATCTGAAGGGGAGAGGGACATGGCAAGGGCCACCTTTCAGGGTTAGAGGAGGTTGGGTGGGGAGGAGACCCCCTCCCCTGCACTAACCTGGAGCTTGGCTGTGCAGTGTGCGGCAGGAGGCTGTCTCATCGAGCTGGCTCAGGAGCTCCTGGTCATCATGGTGGGCAAGCAAATCATCAATAATGTGCAGGAGATTCTCGTCCCGTGAGTCCCCCACTTGCCCTGGGCAGCATCCAGGGACCCTGGGACTGGGAGTGTCTAGGGCAGTAGCCCCAGCCCAGTCCCAACCTGGAAAAGAGGTGGAGGGAAGCCAGGTGGGCCCCTCCTGGACCTGGCTGTCTCACCTGCAGGGGAGGGGAGGGTCTGCCCTGCCATCTGCCCCATGGGCTCTGTGACACCTGCAACCTGTGGTTGCCGTGTCAGCATATTGCGTTCTTTTGTCCTGGCCAGCTTCGTTGAGGGAGGAGGCCCATCCTTTCTGTAGCCCCTGTGGCCAGGACACTCTGCAGCACCCCCAGCCAAGGCAGCACCAGAGGGGGGGTCCAGGCGAGGCCCCCAGCCTCAGGTTCCCTGCCACTGGGGTCCTTTCTCCCCAATGCCACCCCCACTGGCACCACTGTGCTTCCCATCCAAGCAACTGGACCCCCTCCCAGGCAAGAGCCCTTGCAATGAATGCCCAAGGCTGGGCCCAACCTGGACATCTTGCCATCTCTCCCGCACACCTGATCTCCCACAGACAGCATGGACTCCCCTGCGCACCTTGAACTGTAGCTGTGGGACCTTAGCCAGCCCATGCCTCTCTTTGGGTGCAGTCAGTGCTGTGCAGCTGAATTCCAGGAGATCATGAGTTTGGGGTGTAGTTGGTGCCTGGAGGGGCTGGATGCGTGCTGACAACGCGACATACACTTATTCCCCTACATATGACAAAGTAACAAGCACACATGCTCCCACTGACACAGCGATGTCCTCATCTGCTCACTTCCACCTGGACATACCTCTTGGCACCTCTTTGCATGTCCCAGGAGAAACCCATCCCCCCAAAGCTTTCACGAACAATGGGGCACTGCAGGAGAGCTGGGGGAGGGGCTACCCCCAGAAGGAGGCAGATGCGCTTGAGGGTTCTACAAGGCCTGGCCAGCCTGCTGTGCGGGTCCCAGGGTCCAGACCCTCTCCCTGCTGCCTTCAAACTGTAGAACAACCAGCTGGAGGAGCAAAAGCTATTTTCCTGGGTGTTTCCACCTCCAGGAAGCTCACGGGCTGGTGGCAGAAGTTCCGGCTTCGCTCCAAGAAGAGGAAGGTGGGGGCTTCAGCTGCTGCCAGCCAGACGCCCTGGGAGGCAGACTATGAGCTCCTGCCCTGTGAGGGCCTATTTGATGAGTACCTCGAAATGGGTAGGTGCCCCTGGGGGCCTCCAGCCTCAACATTCCTCTGTCTCCCTTGAAACATGATGTGGGTGGGGACAGAGGGTCCCTAGTGGAGCCAACCTACAAAGGATCCCGAAAGGACCTGGGATCGCAGTGGGGAGTGCCCGGGAAAGGCAGGCTGGAGATGGGAAGGGACAGCGCCCTGGGCACAGAGGTTGTGAAGAGGACTGGGGGCAGTTGATGGAGCTCTCCTGGAGTGGCCTTAGTCCCCCACCCCAGTAGGCATCTGCTAGAGCCTCCTGTAGGAGCTAGGAAGGAAGCCGGGTGCTCAGGAGACCAGGCACTAGGGGTGGGGACAACTGCCCCTGAGAGTAAGCCTGCACCTAGGAGGCGACCGGCCTCAGGTCCCCTGACCACTGGAGTCCCATATGGGAGTTGATTCCAGAAAATTTCTTGATGCCCACACTCTTTGCCAGACCCTCAACTGTGCCCTCTACAGGTGGTGGCCGGTGCCTGTACTCATTTCCTGCACGGGATGGTGCTCTTTTGGGGGACAGGATGTTTGTCCCAGCAGCCCAAGGTCTTACTCTGAGATCATGGCACACTTCAATGGAAAGTGTTGCATCTGAGTCAAACAATCACTGAGCTCCCTGGCAGCCACAGCAAAAGGGGCGATAGTAGTTGCATCGGTCCCTGGACAAGAGGGAGCAAACAGTTCACGTGCATTTTCTTTTTTTTTTTTTTTTAATATATTTTATTGATTTTTTACAGAGAGGAAGGGAGAGAGATAGAGAGTTAGAAACATCGATGAGAGAGAAACATCGATCAGCTGCCTCCTGCACATCTCCCACTGGGGATGTGCCCGCAACCCAGGTACATGCCCTTGACCGGAATCGAACCTGGGACCTTTCAGTCCGCAGGCCGACGCTCTATCCACTGAGCCAAACAGGTTTTGGCCACGTGCATTTTCATGATAATGTGTGAGTGGGGTTGACCTTGTGTGGCCCTACGCCACTGGACAGCAGGCGATGGGACCAAGGCTCTTCTTAGTATTTTACAGAGGAGCCAGCTGCTCCGAGAGGGGTAAATGGAGAAGGCCGGCCTAAAATCTACTCCCTTTCCTGCCAGAAGCCCACAGGGGAGGAGAGAGAATCCCAGACCTCAGGGAGCCCAGGGAGGCCCATGCCCCTCGTGCAGCTCTGTGGAGCAGTTAGGGGCAGTCAGGGAGGCATCGTGGGAGTAGGGGCCCTGGGGCTACGCCTAGGAAATGAATCAGAGCAGAAGCTGGCGGGCGGGGACAGCCTGAGGTGACACCTGCGCCCACAGTGCTGCAGTTCGGCTTCGTCACCATCTTCGTGGCTGCCTGTCCGCTGGCGCCGCTCTTCGCGCTGCTCAACAACTGGGTGGAGATCCGCCTGGACGCGCGCAAGTTCGTGTGCGAGCGCCGGCGCCCAGTGGCCGAGCGCGCGCAGGATGTGGGCATCTGGTTCCCCATCCTGGCTGGCATCACGCACCTGGCGGTCATCAGCAACGTGAGCGAGGGGTGGGGGGAGGTCAGGGAGGCTGTGCGGGGCTCCTCGGGGACCGGGTTCTGTGGGATGGGGCGGGGGCTCCTCGGGGCGGGGCTCCGCGGGGCGGGGGGAATCGGTCCACGCTGACCGCCCGGCGCCCAGGCCTTGCTGCTGGCCTTCTCCTCCGATTCCTGCCGCGGCACCTATTACCGTTGGACCCGGGCCGGGGACCTGCGGGGCTTCGTCAACTTCA